ACGAAAGGCGCGGTCATGTCAGACGGAGAACTGTCGAAATTCTTCGACATTGAGCAGGGGGGCCCACAAGGTTGCACGCTGTCCCCAACATTGTTCCAGGTGTTCATCAACGATCTGTTGGAAGTCGTAGAGGCAGTCCGGAAGGGAGTAAAAGTAGGGGACACGGAAACGTCGGTTTCAGGAATGCTGTTTGCGGATGATTTTGTCGGTATGTCGGACATCCCTGAGGGACTGCATCTGCAAACTGACGCGGCGAAGAAGTTCACTGATAAGTGGAGAATGTCTGCCAACGTTAAGAAGTCTGTCGTCATGGTATGCAACAAGAACAAGGAGGAACCAGCTGAACATAGATGGAAGTGGGGGATCGAGGAGATTGCAGTAGTGGACCAGTACACATACCTCGGAGTAGAGATCGCAAAAGACTGCTCGTGGAATGCACACATGTCCAAGGTAGCGGAAAAGGGCAAAGCACGAGCAGGGAAGCTGCACCCAATACTCGCAAACCGGCACCTCGATACACGCATCAAATTGACGGTTTTGAAGAGCGTAATCGTACCACCGCTAGAGTACGCCGGAGAAATATGGGATGGAAATAAGAAGGTAGTGAAAGAACTCGAGGCGGCGCAGATGAAAGCGACGAAAATCATCCTAGGATGCTCCAAGCGCACAAGTAGTGCAGGCGTCAGGGCAGAATTGGGGATCCAATCCCTACGGTCGGGAAGAGACGCGAGGAAGCTGACCTGGCAGTATCGCATGTGCGGGATGGGAGAGGAGAGGTTGCCGAGAATTGTATGGGAGGCGAAGTGGGCAAACAAAAAGAGGGGTAGACAACCCACGGAATGGGTCAAGGTTGTAGAGGACGTATGGAAGGGGCTCGACATCGACGAAGATGAAACGCTGGAAACGGAGGGTCTACAGGGGTTCAAGGAGAAGATATCTGTTGCTTGTGCCGAGAGAGAAGAACAGAATCTGAGGAAAGAATCCAAGGATAAGGAGGGTCTAGAAGTGTACGGAATGTTGAAGGAAGGAACGGGGTTCAAGGGTTACCTACATGGACCAATGGATGCAGGAACAAAGCTTAANTGTATGGAAGGCGAAGTTTGCAAACAAAAAGAGGGGTAGACAACCCACGGAATGGGTCGAGGTTGTAGAGGACGTATGGAAGGGGCTCGACATCGACGAAGATGAAACGTTGGAAACCGAGGGTCTACAGGGGTTCAAGGCCTATCGGTTGCTTGTGCCGAGAGAGAACAGAATCTAAGGAAAGAATCCAAGGATAAGGAGGG